GTCCCAGTTCCCTCAGCCGTTCCTCATAAGACTTGTTCTCCAGACCCCTCACCAGCCTCGTTGCCCTTCTCTGGACACGCTCCAGCACCTCAACGTCCTTCTTGTAGTGAGGGGCCCAAAACTGAACACAGTATTCGAGGTGCAGCCTCACCAGGCTGATCGTACAGGGGCACGATCACTTCCCTACTCCTGCTGGCCACACTATTGCTGATACAGGCCAGGATGCCATTGGCCTTCTTGGCCACCTGGGCACACTGCCGGCTCATGTTCAGCCGGCTGTCAACCAGCACCCCCAGGTCCCTCTCTTCATCATCCCCAACATGCCCAGACAGCGAGGAAGTCTTTCAGTTTTATTTCTGAAGTCTAACTGCCAACAGAGCACAACGTCACAAACACAAGAAGCATAAGGCAAAGCCCTCAGATCCAAGCCTGCATCCCTTGGTCTTAGGCACTCTGCATAGATTAATCCAAACAACAATCAACAAAAACTCTCCTTTTGAACTTCAGCATAACTCCAATCTCCTATTTTGAAAGGCTTAGTGAAGAGTCCAGTGCTAATGCCAAAACACTCTTCTCACTAGATATAGGTGTTCCTAGTCGACAGGTGAGTGTATTAACAAAGGGACCCAGCTTTCTCCGTGTGCTTTGCATCAGCACAGGAACAGCAACAGTCTAGAACTGCATCACCATTTGTCTTTGCCTTCTTGATAGCAATGAAAATTCAAGCCGATTTCCACCATACATACACTAGAGATATTTAAGGTTCTTCCACCCTTTCTGATCAAAACCAATCATACAAGATATTTCTACTTCTCCTTATCCATGGTGAAGAGTGGAAAGTAATTCCTGGAAGTATTCCAGCTATTGTCACAAAAAGTCAATAAACAGAAAGTACATTTTTGTTTCTCATTAGAGAAATCAACAGCTCTACTGCAATTAAACACACAACTAGTTGCTCTGACAAATTCTTTGTAGCTCCTGTAAACAGAATCATGAGTAATTCCTGCAGTCACAAACATACTAGAATGACTTTTTATAATACTGGGGTTCTGAAAACAGTACTTCACACTGCCACAGAAGGAAGACTTGTAGATCCAATGAAAGGAAAACAGTAGCAAAAAAGTATTTATTGAACAACACATTATTCAATTTCACAGTGTGGGATAAAGACCCATACTTGCTCCTTGGAAATAGCAGAGCTGAGTAATCCTGTGAGAGTGGGGCAGTAGGGTCAGGTCTGCAGGCGAAGTTTATTAAGAACAGTAAAATACTGTTTCCACAGCCAGAAGGAATTTGAGGGTGGGGAAAAAGAAACAAAAGCAATGACAGCCAACCAGATACCCTTGCAGTGTTTCGTGGAACATTTTTCAGCAGAGAAAAGCTATTAAGGCTAAAAACTAGGCATGAAGTTTTGGGTTCATACATTCAAATATTAAAAAACAACCATGGCATGTACAACTTGATCTCTGTGTGTGCGATTAAAAATAATTTAGTTAGTAACAGATTTTTCTCCAAAAGGGCAGTTTTCTACTGGCTGAAGTGTCTATGTATTTAACTGGAAGTCTCATGATGATCACAGCTCCATCAGCTTTGCTTATTGACTAGGAAAGAGGCCTGCTTTCCATCTTCTGCACGAATACCAAGTCTGCTTACATAGCTCTCCCAAGCTGCCTTCCTGTACTTCTCTGCTTCTTGAAGACGGTCTGAAGCTGACAAGATGCCGCGTCCCACAATAATGATATCAGAACCTTTTTTGGTAATAACTTCCTCGGGGCTTAGGTACTTCTGTCCAAGGTTATCACCTGAAATAGAGACACCATTTTTTTCAGTTTGTACAAAAACTGTATCTACTAAAAAGCTTCAAAGAGGTGCTGGAACAGGGAACAGGTATGCTGTTCCAGCTCTCACCCTAACAATCCACAAACATACTAGAAACTGTGTCTCCAACTAACGAACACCCTATTACACAGCTCAAATTTGACAGAGAGCACCCTCCTTTTTCCATGATTTACCAATCACAATAGATGGAACAGTTACGCAAAGAAGCACCGATCAGGATTGCTGAAATAAGCCTTAGCCTTCTTAAAACAGGCAAAACCCCCAAACATTCATGTAAAAGCTTGTGATTTCACTTCAGGTTTCATAAAAATTAAGTATTGCAGAGAAACACATCTCCCGTACCTGGTTCAGTGATAACCTGTTTAGTCAGTATAAGACTTCCAATTCATTGATGCTGCATCTGTATCAGTATCAACAGTGTTATAGTTAGACTTCTGCATTTGTTAAAAACCTTTTTTTCTACTCCTACTGAGTAGTTGTACATCTAACCTAACGCCTACCTGAAGACATTTCACGTTTTAAGGACTGTGCTTTATGGCGTGCACAGACCTCAGCACACGAACAAAGCTGCATAGCCTGCTGGTTGCCTTTCAGAGCTCCCAGGAAAGGGATCAGCGTACCCAGAAATACAGAAGGCAGCCCATAATGGCAAACACAGACTCCTTCCACCAGAGAATCAGTAACCAAACCCTCTTCAGAAGTCACTTTTTCCACTGAAGGCTCGATCACTTACTGTATTTACAAACAGACTAAGTATTTCAGAAAAAGTTACCTCCAGTTTGCAGCTGCACCCCTGGAGTTAAGTGAAGAAATTCCAGTTTATTACTAACTCTAGATCCAGATATGAATCCAAAAATGAAATCCGAGTTGTCTTCAGCCATCTGTACCTGAAGATGATCAGTAAACAGTTACAAGTGATACACCTAAAATTAAGCTTGACTAGCAATCTGTTTCTCATCCACCCTTTGACACATTAAGCTGTGCAAGGCAGGGGTATGAAACACCTGTTCTTGCTTTACCAATATAAAGTCACCCAGAGCTGACTCGCCCCTCACTGACCTTGCTGCACTTGCAGCCAGGAACGCGAATGTTGTGTTTCTTTCTATGTTATAAATAATACAATGAATGAATTTAAAATAGTTAGAAATGTATTGCTTCAGGAAAACAAAAGGGGGGCGGGGGCTAATAGCAAACTTGGCATGTTTACTAGAATTCACAGTGTGAACTGTGACCACCTCACATGACTAGCCTGCAGCTGCAACCTTTACACACCACACTGTCAGATTCCTGAGTCTCCACAGGAAAAAAAACCTGTAATAGAGCTGGAGAGACTTTTGGAAGTGCAAATATTAGCAGCACACAAAACCTCTCTGTTACAACACTTTACAAGCTTTTAACCCGAAATAAGACTGCCTACTTACCGCAGCTTTTGTGTATTCACCTGTTGCAAGTGACCCTTGGGAACTCATCTCGGCAACCAGAAGACAGCCGCGCTGGAGAGGAAGACCTACTTCCTTCAGGCCTTTCACAACTCCAGAGCCTGGAACCACGTGGGCATTAACGATGTCTGACCAGGATGCGATTCTGAACACACCACCTGAGAACATGGATAGGAAGACAGAGGCAAAGCGTCATTACAAATGTATTGAACAGGAAACATGAGTTAAACAAAACAAGCTGCACGCTAAATCATTCACATTTTAAAAGACAGTTTTACTACTGAAGCTTGACAGTTACAAGTTCAGTCTCATCAGACAGTTCTGATAGCTGCCTAACCACAAAGTGTAATCTCTCAGTTTTACTTTTCACAAACACTTCTTAGTATCTCACCTTTAATATTCACTGAGACATTTATGGTAACCTAGAAATCCACTGTCACAGCTGCTACCTTTCAATACAGCATGCAGATCATATGGGATGTATGGATCAGAAAAACTGTTCTACACTTGCAGATGCAATATTGAATGAAAGCCGTAACGAGCACACAAGCATACAACAGCAGGCTGCCTTAAGAAGCCACACTGCATTTCTCACGGCAAACAACTACTCAGAAGTACTTACTGAGCACAACCATAGATTCATAAAAAGATTAAGGTTGGAAGGGACCTCTGGAGGTCATGCCCTCTCAGCAGCGTTAACTTCAAACCTAGATCAGGTTGCTCAGGCCCCTTGAGTCTTCTCCAAGGCTGGAGATTCCACAATCTCTCCTGGCAACCCGCGCCAGTGCTGCAGTTACACACACTGGCAGCAAAGTTACAGTAAATTGAGGTTGATGATAGTCACCTTCATATTGATGTTTCACTGTGTTTCCAATGTCTGCAAATTTCCTGTCTTCAAAAATCAAGAATTCATGTTGATCCGCGAGTGTTCTCAACTCCTTTACTACCTCTTGGGTGAAATCGTTCAGGATGTCTACGTGAGTCTTCAGGATACAAATGCTGGGGCCCAGGATGGCAGCCAACTGCAGCAGCTCTTCAGAGCTGGTGACATCAGCAGAAAGGCACAAGTTCGTTTGCTTCTTTTCCATGAGCGCAAAAAGCCTGGCTGCAATAGGATGTACCCCTGGCAGCTCGGCACGGGCACTGAAGCTCAGCTCTTTACATAGTCTCTTCACGGGAGCGGGGCCATTCTGAGCCACTGGCTCAAACACATTTCCCTGAATGAATTTCTTCACCTTTTCAACCATCTCAACAGCCACTTCTCCCTGCTGCTGGAGAATCTCCAACACGCTGGACAATGTACACACAGAGTGCAGGCGGATTCCACATTCCTCTAACCTGGCCTTTCCGCCCTGCTCCCTGTCCAACAACACTACGGCATCCGTGACTTTTAATCCTGCTTTCTGAAGAACTTCCGCAGTTTCCAGTACACTAGATCCACTTGTTACCACATCTTCAATGATCAAGCATGTTTCTCCTGGATTAATGGTGCCTTCTACCAGCCGCTTAGTACCTTAAAAATAAAAGGCAAACGCTCCAGTAAATGAAGAAAGTTTAAGAGACCCCAAAAAAACTTAAAGTATCAAAACTTTAACTTGCTATGCTAATGTAAAGATCATATTTGTTCCACATACAAACATATGCTGCAGCATATACTGAAGTCAATGGAATTGGACTTCAAGACAATAGGAATTTCACATTCACTGTCAGTATGGAGAGGTAATTTGTTTAGTTATTACCTGATACAAGTTATTACAGTTCTTACCACAGCTCAGCCACCGACTTGTAATTCAATTCATAAAGACCGTTGCTTCTCCAAGTTAATAAAATACTTATGTTTCCAGAAGCGATGTTCCATTAACAATTCTGACATATTAACTGCACAAATTTAAATCTTTTGATAAGATGACTACAGAAGTTTATTATTGCCACGAATTGAATGCTCAGAATTACAAAACTATTTTCTCCAGTTATTTAAAACATCTTTAAAGTGGCCAAGTTATTGGTGCTCTTCAGCACATTTCCCACTTTCCACAGGCAGCATTCTGTGCTTAATATGCCTGTTAGAACAATTAGAAGGAGTAAAGCCCCAAATGCCTTTGTCCTAACCAACAACAGGCACACGTCCATGAAAGGCCTCCCGGGGGGCAACAACAAAGGATGCCTAGCTTTCCCAGGAAGCAGCGATCAGCAGGAGAACATTATGCAGCGAGTGCGGTGCTTAGACCATGACAGCCTAGAGAACAAGCGTATGTACAGCTCTGCAATCCATGTGACACCAGAAACCTTGTGCCAGGCAGTTAATTGCTGTCACAATTGACTTGTCCTTCACAAGAAGGAACAGCAAATGTTTTCATGCCTGGCACAGTGACTAACATAGGAGTAACATTTAGTTTTGACAAGGATACTTCCTAATTAAATACTGTTGGAAGAGTATAGCTCTTATCACATGTGGAAATCCAGTTGCTACAGTAGGTTAACGCTTCAGCCTTCTCTCCCTCTTCCTTTATCAAAATCAGACAAATGGTTCATTACGTAGAGAACTGCTTCTCACCTGGTCTACCCTGCCCACTGATTACAGGACTATATGATATGAAAGAAAAAGGGTTTGAGAGGTAAATGAACAAGAGACTGGAACGGTTCCTCTTGGGAGTCAATACGCAAAAAGTTCTGTTCGGGGGTGAAATGTGGCACTGGTCTCAGCGTATCAGAGAAACTGAGTTATAAATCTTGGTTTCTGGAAGAGGCCAGTAACCCAGAACCATGGTAATGGTGCCAAGGAAAGAAAAGACACTGCTGAAGAAAAGAAACAAACAAACAAAAACAAAGAAACCACCCCCCCTCCCCAAGAGTCTCCAAATCTACCACAGCAGAATTCAAGCTGCAGCCTAATCAGCAACCAGCTGGGAGAGCCTGATCAGGTTGGGATGCTGTGGGAGGTATGTTTTAGGGGGAAAAGGGGCTGCTTTTTGAATTGGAGTGGTAACCTTAAACTGGAATGGAGATGCTGCACATTGCAAAAGAACCACAAATATACAAAGTCATTTCCCAAACAAGAAAACAAGTAGACACAAATTCTCAATGTGAAGGTTTTACCATAGTCTTTCGCTTCCTTCCTCCGTATAAGCATTGGAATCTGATTTTCTGAGCAGATAATCGTGGCCAACGGCAGCGCTGTGTAAGGAACGCCGCACACGCAGTCATACTCCAGACCAGCATCTCTGGCTGTTTGAAAGAGAAGATCTGCAGCCTGAAAAGGAGGACCAAACATTTTTTAAGAGTCAGAACTGGCGTGAGCGTGACTAAACAAATGTAATACCAAGGCAAGCAATGCAAATGCATGAAAAACTCTCTTCTTTACGTGACTTGACAGTCGCTGTCCCTACAGCGAGCAGGCAGCCCGGCCTCTACACCCAGCAGGCTCCTGGCCAGCAGAGCACGGCCCCGGCCCCAGCCCCAGGAAGGGCTCCCTGGAGAGGCCCCGGCAGGGCTCCCGTGCCTCCTCCTCCCCTCCTTTAGCTAAAAGAGACCCTTTACCCCGCAAGAGGCAGAGAGATACCCGAGGCCTCCGCGGTGCCGGCACGGACAAGCGCTGCCTGGCACTCCGGGTAGGGCAGGGCAGGGGCAG